CTGTCCGGAATGGCGTCTTTCAGCCAGGTTTCCGTGAAACACAGAGCAGCAGAGTTTGAAAAATCCTTATTTGTCCGGGAGAGCAGAAGGAGCTCGTCCGTTTTGTTGGGTAGAGAGCAGAGGTTCGCCAGATGGATGCTAGGCAACGGCGTTCGAAATCCGCGCTGCCTGAGCTTCACGAGGGCGCCGGCTCGCTTCCCCCGTCTGCGCGGCCTGAAGCGTTTGATCAGAGCCACAGCTCCCCCGACTACAATGTCCAGCAAAACATCAGAATAATCGAAAACCGGTGAAATATCGGGTGGTGTGTACTTCCGAATGTCCAGCAATTCGTCTCTGGTGAAACTGATTGCAGGGATATAACTAAAGACAGGACAAACTAAAAAAAGCATAAAAACAACTGCGGAGCACGCCACGGGGCAGCCATCAGCGTCGGCGCCATCGCGAGAATAACTCAAATAACACTCCACACCTAACCACTTACAAGATGTAGTAAGATACTGTGCAGATCTTAAATAAACAATGTCAAGATATATAGTCCATTATAAATGTAAAAGTAGGTTTAATATGGTGTTCATTGTGTTATAAATAATCGTAATCTTAAAAGCTATAACCACAAATGCGTAAGCATTATTTATAAGATTATATAGCATATTATAAGGTTTTTATAATGCATTCATTATATTGCCTTAAGAATACCCTTATAATGTATTATAAATATGGGCTTCATAGAAAGTGTTACCAAAGTTTGTTTAGACAAGTGGTGATAATGTTTTGAAAGAACTGATAAGGAAAATGTCAGGAGACTGACATCCACAACAGCAGTGTCATGAAATAACTATCCATGCTAGTTAAGCATAATATGATTGTTTGATTATGAACAGTACAGACATATACTGCACATATGTACCCTATGTTGGTGTGTAAAGCAAATTCTATGAACTTATCTGAGGTACATATAGTACAGAAAGAGTAGAGTGAGTGAGTTGATCTCAACTCCAGTGGATTATATGAAAAAAGCAGACTGTTGCAGTCCACAAAGGTAAGAAAGGGCAATGCCACATGACATTTGAAGCTAGAATTATTATACATGTTTACATGCCAGGTGTCAGTGGTGTCACAGATTGGCATTCTAGTGTGCTCAGCATGGCTTCTATGCAGTAAACAGACTTCAAAGGGCTGCAACTGTGCTCACATGCTAGCCGGGCTGAATAGGTGCCTTCACTGTCTGAGCCCTTCACACGCATCACACAGAGAGTTCATTCAGCAGGACTGACGCGCTGTGCACAGCCGGACACCAGGGTGAAAATTACACCCTTAAAAAGAACAACTTCATTCAATAATGTCAGCTCTCTTTCTCTTTCTCCCTCTCCCTGTCTCTTACTCATTGTATCGGTGTTGTTCTGTCCTCCTTTCTCTCTCTCAATGAAATATGCAGCTATACTCCGATAAATACTAACTTTCCTAATGTTGTTTCCCTAGTCCTTGTGGGGAAATCATGCTAAACATATTCACACCACATAACTACCATTTGCTATTGTTATAGGTCTGTGATGGTACAGAGAGCAAATAGTCCATATATATACACTGCCATTGCCTGTAAGATTTTTTTATGGTCTTTGAAACTGTTTTAAAGTCTCTTATGCTCACCAAGGCTGCATTTATTTGATCAAAAATACAGTGAAAACAGTAATATAGTTACATATTTTTTCAATTAGAAATAATTTTTTCAGCACATTAAACAGCACAACTGTTTCCAACATTGATAATAATCAGCATATCAATATTAAATTATAATGATTTCTGAAGAATCATGTGACACTGAAGACTGGAGTAATGTCTGCTGAAAATTCAGCTTTGCATCACAAGAATAAATTATATTTTAAAGTATATAAAAAAAACCTGTTATTTTAAATTGTAATAATATTTCACAATATTACTGTTGATCAAATAAGTGCGGCCTTGATGAACATAAGAAACGTCTATAAAAAACATTAAAAATCTTACTGATCCCAAACTTTTCAATGGCAGTGTATATTATTTAAGAACAGAAAGTTCAAAAGAACA